GTGTTTTTCCTCAGTGTTATTGTTTGATTATCAATATAAAAATCCACCGGATTACCGGATTACTTTGTGCCAACTGTATACGTTTGTGTATCAGTGAGAAGAAAGGGCACCCAATGGGGAATCAGGAGACAGCATTAAAATCCCTGTCCTTCCCTGCCCTTGTTCATTACCACAGGCAGTGTGCTCATCATTTGAGCATTAAGCTCATCAGAGCTCTAAGCTTCTGTTTCCTCATCTGGAAGTGGGAGCCGAGGTGATCAACGATTTTTATCTCAGAGGGTATCATGAGGACCAAGTGATAACCTGAGTATAACAGCACTAGCCCAGTGCCTGGCCCACAGTCAGGGCTCAGTAAATGACAGCTAAACAGCAATGTAGTGGGGTTCTGTATGCCATACATGAGATTGGGAGCCAGATTCGATGGTCAGTTTAGGTGAAGAAATTGGACATGTCTGTGTTCACATAGTATGATTCATGTCTACTTTGCTGTTGCTGCTGCTGCTTTCCTGTAACCAATTTTAGAGCCTATCTTGGCAGCTGGAAGTATTTGGGATTAATTTCACACTCACTTTATGAGTTGAGCGTTTTCCTGCAAGCAGCTCCCTGGGCCTCTGCCTCATTACTTTGGCATCAATTGATATGGCAGTTGGATAGAGATGTCCTTTGGGGTCTCCATTTTATTTGGAATCCTTCAATTTGAAAAAGCAAAACAAAGGCCATCAACACATTGTGCTTGAAATCGTTAGCATTTATTTTTTCCTAAACCTCTCCCTTTCTGTAGTTCTGTTGAACACCAGGGAACACACATCTTGTACAGCCAGTGATGAGCACTGAAAAATCACTGTCCCTCAAATGTAAGCCCTAGCAGCTGGTTGGCCTCATTTCTCAGTTCCAGGTGAGCTGCGAGATCCTCTAGGCCCTGGTCAGACAGATCTAAATCTTGATGGGTCTAGTTTTTCCATCCCTTTTTACTATGTTAATTCTGCTAAATTCATTTGGCTCTTGTGGAGAACAAAGTAAACTTGGCTATTACGTGTAAAACTAAATTGAGAACATGGAGATCTGTTTAGTATTTCACGCTGGCCAGTAGGTCAGGAAGATTTTCCTTGGGGGTAATTTACATAAGGAATTGTTTATCCCATTTCTTTCCAATTTCTGTGACCATTTGGGGATAGCAGACTCTTTCCACAATGGCACAGAAATATATCCAGCGAGACTGAAACTTAGAGAAACGATGCTTCTCCAGGATTGATGTATTTTGGGTCTTGCTCAGGAAAGATCCTGTGGCTTGGGCTGCTGTCTCACTGAGAAGTCATTCTTCCACCACAGCTGTGTTTAGCAAGTTGGGTGGGTCCACGAACTGACATGCTGTTACACTTAGTAAGAATTTTCCCTTGATAGTGAGGAACGTGCATAAAAGCCTCACTTAAGTCCCAGCAAATGCTCTAAATGTTTGCTGTGATCCGATGGCTACTTAGAGCACAGCCTCCATCAGATAACACCCATACTCAGAATACTCTGTGGCTCTCCAGTAACCTGCACACTCTTCACCTTGACATTTTGGTTCCTCTACAGCAGTTGCCCAGATGACCTTTTTTGTCTCATCAAATGCTCTTCCCAAACTGGAATATTTGCTCCTTCCTGAACAAGCAGCCTCTACATTTGTGCTTTAATGCACTTGCTCAGGTTGTTTCCTTCACTTTTAAAGCCCCCTTACCCAATATCTATTCTTGAGGACAAATTTCAGGTACCTTTTCTCAGTGGCATGCTGGTAGGTATTTACCAACTGGCTATTTGTGAGGAGCAGGGTGGGTGGGAAGCCTAAGTTTATAACAGTTGTTGATTTGCATGTTGTAAATACTTCCACCATGGCTGATTTCAAGCTTCTAGCATGAGGTCACTGAATGTGGAGTTGGGAAGAAATGGGCAGTAGCTCACCATTGCAGAGTGTTGCCGACATACAGATGCAACAGGCATAAATAACCTCAAGGGCCTAGATAACAGTAAAATAATTAGGAAGTAATGCGTTTTGAGTATTTATTACTTTTGTTTTCATGTAACTTATTTTTAAGTTTACATAATTTAATTTTTAGCAATGGCCATGTTTAACAACTGGCTCACAAAATTCCTGAAAACTGAATAATCAGTCCTTTCTCCTGAGCTGGTAGGAGCTGGCTGAGCCTGGTCCAGTGGCCACTGCTGCTTCTTCCACCTTTTCCTTCCCAAGGCCTTCTACACTCACTAGTAGTTAGGCCCTTCTCCGAACCTATAAGGTGCTTCAGGTCTCATGCAGACTTCAGAGTGAGAGACTCCAAGTCGAATCCTGCTTTCTCGTTCACTAGATGATGGTCAAACTGGCTACTTAATTTGCAGTTCCCAGTGCAAAATGAAAATGCAGGGCCCTTGTTAAAAGGTAGAAGAAAGTGCTATTGAAACAGCTACTAAAATATAAAGTTCTTTCCTTTCTTCAGTGGTCTCTCTTTCACACCTTCTGGTGGTGCTATTTAATGTTATCTCAAGTAAGGAAAAATTAAAATTTTAAATTGTTAGCATGAATTCTATGATTAATCTTTATATTGTGCGATGCCAGTTTTAAATGCAAATATAAGAGCACTTAACTCTCTGAGTTAATGAGCATATCTCCTCTGATCATGTGCATGGTCCATTATCCTATAGACTTCACTTACAAAGCACAAATTCAAAAATAAAGTTATTATGACTTTCAAGACAGAGACAACAGGGCCTTAAACCAAGCATGGAGCACTTCTAAGCACAGACACAGTTGGCACACCCTATGTACAGTACTGGGCACATTCCTTACATCTGCTGAGCCTCAGAGGCCTCATCTATAAAACAGAGATCTTGCCAACTAAGTCTCAGCGGAGGCGTGAGGATTGAACGCACTGATACCTGTATGGCACAGAGCAGATTGCTTGGCATACAGTTCATGCTCAATTAATTGGAGGGCTTATTATTAACATAATGATCATAATGTTAGTGGTATTCTCCTCCTTAATAGTCTATAGGGTCTTCCCTATATTGTCAGTGTTTGCCTCCTTGACCTATTTTCCTTTCTCCATTATAAAGTCTTTGAAGATGGAGGTTATCTCTGTTGCCATTGAATTCCCTGTAGTGCTTCCTGCAAATTCTTGCACATCCCTGGCACTCAGGAGGTGTTTATCACCTTGATCTTTGTATGATTTGGACTTATTGTAAGCATCTGTGTCATAATATGATGGCCCCCACAGTGAGGCTTAATTGATAACATTCACAGGAAGAAGATGAAATTAAACTTAGATTTTTAACAGGAGTCAGTTGTAATCATGGTGAGGGTTGGGGAAGCAGATAATTCCAGGTGTTTTGGTTTAAGGAAAGTGACTTCTCCATCTCCTCGAGGGAACTTCTTGAAGTAATGGGGAAGGGATGAGTTCCAAGCCTCATTTGAGTAAAAGAGGCCCCAGGGATATTAACTCTGGCCCATAGTAATCTGCCCCTTAGCTAGCTTCTTTCACACTTACTTTCTGTGCTGCACAATAAGGACATTATTACAGTAATGCTTCTTTCCACTAATTGGTTGTATATGTATGTTTCCTGTCCAACAAATTATAAGATCCTCATGGGCTACAGGGTATCACGTACCTTTGAATGCAAATGAAAAGTAGCACGGTAGTAGGCACTCAGTAAGCAGTGTGCTTTGTTAATGCTTACCTTGGTCCCAACGCCCAGGGCTCCCTCTAGAGCTGAATGTGAATTGTGATTGCCTTTCATAACTCCTGCAAGTGGCAAGGAATCCTGGTTTGCCCGGGATTGTCAGGCAAGGGCCTTCAGGTGCTTTGTCTTTCTCTAACCTACATCTCTTTTCCAGTGTCTCCCAGATACTCTGAGGACTGTCCCCTTATAGCCCTTCTCCTACATGGAATTTGGGAGACCACACAGCTGCAGACTATACTTGTTTGACTGATGATTTTTTAATAGGCCCTTTGGGCCAGTGTCAGTAAGCCGTGAAATATCACCAAATGGATCATCTGCACTAGACTTCTGAAACTCATCTGAGCTCTAGTCCCTCAAGCTGGTGGGGACGTGTAGAAAGGAGCTTACATTGCCTCGGCGTTTGCTACTCCAGTTCTGGGGGCTGTCATGTGCCTTGAGCCTCTGGGCTAATCAGTTCCTTACTTTTAATGAGCACAAAATTCACCAAGACATTAAAATAAAATAAAACACCAATGGGCTGTCTTCAGTGTTCTATCCAATTGTTACTTTAGTTCTTTTTTCCACAGGATTATTCAAGAGGATAAAAAAAAAAAAAGCCAATTCTACTCACTCCTGCCAGTTTTATCCTAAGTAGATTTGGCATTGTAAAGCTAACGCACCCTGAACATTTTTTTCTTTCAGGTCCCTGTGGGCTGGTGCCTGACATTTGTGTTAAAAATGACATTGCTTGATTGGTCAAATGTTTGAACATTATCTACCTTTTAAATATAGTAAAGAAATATTGGATATTCCAATACCATGTAAAAAGTAATAGAGGAAGACAGTTATTTTCTGAAAAGGGTATTATGAAGTTATTATTTGAAATTCCAAGGTAAATGCAGTTACTTTGATAAGAATTTTTTAAATTGATCAAGAATTTTTTAAATTGATCAATCTCTGTGACTAGTAATAATGACCATAATAACTGTATTAGAGGTTACTTATATTATCATATATTGTAGAAGGTGAATCGATGGTGAAGCAGACACTGAACAATGTCCCCATTAAGCTGATTTCGTGGATATTTTCATCTCTTGGCCATATGGATTTGGAATTACTTAGGGTATTTTTTTAAAAGAAGGAAGCGAACAGATGAATGATAACTCTTTTATTACTCAACATAGCTTGTGTTTGTGGAAGACAAAGTTCATGAAGTTGTTTTAAAGAAAAACAAGAGTGTGCCAAATGTAATTTGTTGAGGGCTGAAGAATTGTGAAATTATCCCTAACTGAAGTTTGTAATTTCTGCAGGTAATCTCTCTAGCAGATGCAGTAGAGGAAAACCAAGACAATCTGTTCCAGTCATTCACCAGGCTGAAAAGTGCCACCCATTTGGTGATTCTGCTGATCGGGCTGTGGCAGAAGCTTAGCGCCGACCAGATTGCTGTCCTGGAAGCGGCATTTCTGCCACTGCAGCAGGACACTCAAGAATTGGTAAGGACCCACAAGCCTGCAGTGGTAACAGCCAGCGTTATTGAAAAAGGTGGTGGTTTTAGGAAAATATCACATGGCTATCATGTTTTCTAAGGTATCAAATGAAAGCTTGGTTTTGTTTTGTCTTTTTACCCAAATCCTGTTTTCCTTTTCTTCAAACCATAATAAAAATGTCAAGTAAAGGCCTTTTTTTTTTCTAGAGCTATTTAAAAAATAGGTATATAGTCCATTTTTATGTGGTATCCAATCTATTTTTTATATACTCTTCAATCACTTAGAAGCCAGGGAAACAGTCATTTGACCGCCAGGGTGATGGCAGTAAACCTTCAGATTATCTAATCCTTTCCTTTTCCATGAGAGAGAACAATTCAGCCATTTTAATTTGCTCAACGTTCTTAAATTTAAGTGTCACTTCAAGGGTTAGAGAGAACTGAGGTAGCCTCGCTAAATGACAGGGATATTTTTTTACATTTATGTAATTCTTTATATGTAGTTTATAAACTCTTTTACTCTTGATCCTTTGAATAGGCAGTTTAGAACAAAAAGGGAAAAAGTGGGGGCATGCATTTGGAGTTTTTGGTGAAGGATGATATAAATAAACATCTTAGATGCTTTGAATCATTGAGGTATGTGACTACCAGGTGCCGTTAACGCATGCTTTTATTTACAAAGAAATATATACTTCTTTGAAATCAGAGACGCTTGAACTTATTTTTTTGTATTGGAGGAAATTGTTTCAACAAAAAAGTCATTTCAGATCCATTTTTAAACACAGATGTGAAAACATGGTACTAAAGATAATAGTACTAAAACTGAAATTTTGGGGTGTTAACTAGGTACCATGTTTTCTTTTAAGTGTTTCACAAGGATTATCTCATTTAATCTTAAACAAGGACCTATAATGTAGTTAAGGTATTGTTTTCATCCCTGTTTTACATATGGGAAAATTTAGGCTTTGAGAGTTAAGTACCTTTCTGAAATTAGTGGGTGGTAGAGCCAGAATTTGGACCAAAGTCTGTCTGTGTCCAAAGACATGTTTTTAACTTGTATACGGTATTTTACCAACAAAGTCATGAACACGATTTTGAAAATCACAAGCTTTGTCAGTTGAATCTAATTTTCTATAGTTGGGTCAAAGGGTTGTCAGAATAAAAAAAAAAAATCAAGCTATATTTTATATCCTTAACAAAACAGTAAAAATAAATTAGAAAAAATTTAGAGTACACATTATTTTTAGATTGATAAAATTACAGCTAAAATCGACCTTTGAGAAGCTAGAAATGTACACTGTAATAATAGAAATTAAAGAATAGAATGGTTAAGATTATATATATTTTTTTTAATTTAATTTTATTTATTTTTTTATACAGCAGGTTCTTATTAGTCATCAATTTTATACACATCAGTGTATACATGTCAATCCCAATCTCCCAATTCATCACACCACCACCTTCACCCCCCACCACTTTCCCCCCTTGGTGTCCATACGTTTGTTCTCTACATCTGTGTCTCAACTTCTGCCCTGCAAACCGGTTCATCTGTACCATTTTTCTAGCTTCCACGTATATGCATTAATATATGACATTTGTTTTTCTCTTTCTGACTTACTTCACTCTGTATGACAGTCTCTAGATCCATCCATGTCTCTACAAATGACCCAATTTTGTTCCATTCTATGGCTGAGTAATGTTCCATTGTATGTATGTGCCACATCTTCTTTATCCATTCATCTGTCGATGGACACTTAGGTTGCTTCCATGACCTGGCTATTGTAAATAGTGCTGCAATGAACATTGGGGTGCATGTGTCTTTTTGAATTATGGTTTTCTCAGGGTATATGCCCAGTAGTGGGATTGCTGGGTCATATGGTAATTCTATTTTTAGTTTTTTAAAGAACCTCCATACTGTTCTCCATGGTGGCTGCATCAATTTACATTCCCACCAACAGTGCAGAGGAGTCCCTTTTCTCCACACCCTCTCCAGCATTTATTGTTTGTAGATTTTCTGATGATGCCCATTCTAACTGGTGTGAGGTGATACCTCACTGTAGTTTTGGTTTGCATTTCTCTAATAATTAGTGATGTTGAGCAGCTTTTCATGTGCTTCTTGGCCATCTGTATAAGATTATATTAATAAGAATATTAACTATTACTATCACTATGAACTCAGATTTAGTAGTCAAAAAGACTTGGGTGGCTTGAGGTGCTGGTTCCAGCAAAGTCCTTCTGGTCAAGTTTCTTAGCTGATCTAAATCTCTGCTTCTGTAGCTCTAAAATGGAAACAATTATGTTAGCTGTCCAATAAATTGTAATAAGAATTAAATGAGATAATTGGATAGAGTGCTAATCATCATTAGTAGTGGTTTGTCTACTTTATATGTATTATTTATAGTCCTCACTAAAGCCGTGCAAGGTAGATATTACTACCTTTTCATGGTGATTTGTCTCCTCGACTACACTTGAGGTCAGGAATTATATCTTACTCATTTTTATATTCTCAGTGCCTGGCACAATGCCTGACCATAGCGCAGTTGACATTTGTTGGGGTGAATGAATGGAGATAAGGGTGGAAGCTAACAAGAGGTGATTTGGCAGAACAGATGCAGTGGATCGAGTCTGGAGCATGAGGAAGCAGGGCAGGGCCAGCTGTATAATTTACGAGGTTGAGTGCAAAATGAAAATGCAGATCCCTTGTTCAAAAAAGTAGGAAGATATGCTGAAGTGCTGTTAAAACAGGTACTAAACACATAGCTTTTTAGTTTCTGTAGTCACTCTCTCATCGTGGTATTTTTGTTTGCTATTTATTTATGTAGTTCTAAATAAAGAAAAATTTAAAGAATTGCCACAATTATACAATATATACAATACATATACAATATATGCAACTTGTGTTTTGTAGCTCATATGCATTTTGTTCTTATGGAACTGCAGAATTGCTGCACAAAACTTAACTGTCTTTATTTTACTTCTTAACCAGTGCACATCTACCAACACTCTCTACCTTCAGCTTCCTGCTAAGTAAGGAAGGACTGAAGGGAAAGGAGCTCTGTGTCACTCCATTTCCCTTTCTTTCTATGTTATCATTTTCAGTGTAAGTGGTTGGTTAATACAGGGAAGTAACAGGAGTGTAGTGGGTTTCCTTAGTCATTCCTGTTTCTTTGAACCTGTTGCCTTCTTTCTTAATTCAAAACAAGTTCTGGTTCAAATGAAAAGCCTCTCAGGGCTGTCAGTTCCTTCGCTTAATCAGTCTAGACAGAATAGGCCTTCCCCCTGCTTACTTTGAGTCTCTGTGAACTCCCACTCATCCTGGGGCCATGGGAATTCCTGAGCTATGGGGCTGTATGGGAATGGGGGGAAAAGAGGGAGGAGGCATGCATATTGCACATATTTTCCCTTCTCACACGCGCTTCATTGTCTTATCAGACTTCACTTACAACGCACAAATTCAAAGATTAAATTATTAAGAATTTCAAGATGATGACAACAAAGCATTAAACCGAGCACAGGGCCCTGTGCAATTACACAGCTTGCATGCTTCTGAAGCTGGCCCTGAAGCCTGCTTAGACCCAAAGGAAGAATTTCCTAGAAATAAACATTCTCAAATGTAGGAATTGAGTCCCAAGAGAGACTGTGGTATTTCTGACTCCAGAGATCTTTAAAAACAGCTTCATTTGCCAGGAGTATGTAAGTATGCTCATCCCTGTAGGCAGGTGAATGGACTGAGCATCTTCTCAAAGCTCCTTTCTACCCTGCCTCTGTATTCTCTACTGTCATACCTCCCAAATCATGTAAGAAAAAATTACTTCAACTCTCTTCTGAATTTGATGAGATTAGAAGGTGTGTATACTTGTTATGTCTATCGAAGTCATTAATGAGACAGGACATTTGATAAAAACATAACTTGGAGAAGAATGAATCAAAAAAGACATTTTAATACTGCTTGTTATGCTCTTCATCTTTAATTAGGTTGTGGTATTCACTTTGGACTTATACTATTGAGACAGCTTATATATCTTGAGAAAAAAAGGAATCCTTTTTCATTCTTTAAGACGTACGCATGCAGTATGTGGTTTTGACATGCTGGTTCACAATCCTCCACATTATGCCTTCAGACCTCACAAATAAATGTTATGTGATGGGTATGCCGCTGAGACGTGAAAATGAAATATGCAAACCTGAAATAACTTGGAAGGAGGGTGAGGCGGGGAAGAAAGGAGTCTCTGACCAGAATGTTGAAATATATCCCATATTGAAGTTATTATGATACCACAAAAATCTGAATGTAATTTAGACGGTTTGGTTGAGGGTGGATGGCAGAATACATTGTGAGAGGGAGAACTTTAGACATGTGGGCAACATTTTCAGAAGAGACTCTCAGTTCAAGGTCAGATGTCCCCACAGTATTGAGAGGTAAGAGAAAGTGCTCAGAAGATGTTTTATTTGCGGTTCAAACAGCACTGCATAATGGTTTGTTGTATTGTTATTTAGATGGCATGTGTCACAAGACAGGCTAAATACCATAGTCAACTCTGGAATATTTTCTTCTTAATAGCCTCGGTTTCACAAAGCAAAAATGTTTAGAATTCATTATTGCTAATGAAAGGTAGTGTTCTTCACACTATATTATCAGTATTAAAAAAATACCATCCCATTTGGAACAGAATTCATCAGTGTTTTCTTTGATCTGTCTCTTTAGTAACACTTTTCCATTTTTGCCACTTCTCAGTACTTTTGGAGGGCAAATAAATGCTGGTGTTGCTGACTATTATATGTGATTTTTTAAGTTGCTGAAAGTTATATATACCAAATGTGTTTTTGTAGGGATACTCCCTATCACTTTAAGAAAAACGTTAAATGTTTTATTTGGCGTCTCCAAAAAGAGGTCATAAACATAGTTCTGTCGGTGGATTTGATAATATAGTATTATCCCTATTGTCTTCCTGTGATGCTGGAAAAGTTTTACCTAAAATAGTGTTCTATCAGAGTACCTGTTAGGGAAAC